TTTGGAAACTCCAGAGAACCCCAAATCCCCCCTCCACACACACACACAGAGAGAGAGAGAGAGAGAGAGAGAGAGAGAGAGAGAGAGAGAGAGAGAGAGAGAGAGAGAGAGAGAGAGAGAGAAGAAGAAGAGAGAGAAAGGGGGAGAGAGAAGAAGAGAAAGAAGGAGAGACAGAAAGAGAGAGAGAAGGGGAGAGAGAAAGACAGAGAGAGAGAGACAGAGAGAAAGGGAGAAAGAGAGAAAGAGAGAAAAAAGAGAGAGAGAAGGGGAGAAAGAGAAAGAGAGAGAAGAGAGAGAAAGGGGGAGACAGAGAAAGAGGGGGAGAGAGACAGAGAAAAAGAGAAAGAGAGAGAGACAGAGAGAAAGAGAAAGAGAGAAGAAGAGAGAGAAAGGGGGAGAGACAGAAAGAGAGAGAGAAGGGGAGAGAGAAACACAGAGAGAGAGAAAGGGAGAAAGAGAGAAAAAAAAGAGAGAGAAGGGAGAGAAAGAGAAAAAGAGAGAGAAGGGAGAGAGAAAGAGAAAGGGGGAGACAGAGAAAGAGGGGGAGAGAGACAGAGAAAGAGAGAGAGAGAGAGAGAGAGAGAGAGAGAGAGAGAGAGAGAGAGAGAGAGAGAGAGAGAGAGAGAGAGAGCCCAAAGATTAAACACAAGCCAAGGAAATCACCCTCTAGGATGATAGGAATTTAAGATTCCCAATAAAGTGCTATTTAAACCCCAGGGTGAATGGATGGGTGGAAAAATAATTCGGGGACCCCCCCCTTTCTCTTCCCCCCCCCCATCACTTTTTCACCTTCTGCTTTAAGCCCAGGTGTTTCCAAGCCGGGAAAAAAAAAAGAAAAATAAACCAAGGTAAAAACGTCAGAAATGTTTTTTTTTTTAAATGTCAGAAATTGTTCCAGCTTAGATCGAGGCGTCTTTGGGTCTGAAAGTGAGCTCTTTTAGCTGTCCCAGATCAACACACACACACACACACACACACACACACACACACACAACACAAACACACGCGCGCACACCCTGAGCCATCCACAGTTAAGAGGCAAAAGCTTTCGGGATGCTGAATTTGATCACGGCTGAAAAGAAGGGCTGCGAAATATTCATCCGGACGGGTTTAATTGTTCGTTTCTTCCTTTATATATATATAAAAAAAAGCAAAAAAGGGAAGTCAAATCAGCACTCAGCGGATGAATCAAAGCGCAAATGGATCCACTCAAGCCCTTCCATCCTTCCTGAGTGGCAAGGGCAAAAGAAAAAAAAAAAAATAAAGAGCTTCTTACGCCCTCTTGGGAATAAAGCCATGACTACATTTCCATTATTATTATTATTATTATTATTTTTATAAAAAATAAGAATTAAAATTTCAATCAAAGACAGCCCTAGAGGGTCCACGAGAAGTCTTCCGAGGCAGAAATGTTTTGACTCCTTCCCTATCTGCTTCTGGATTTCCGCAAAAAACTGGAGCCAGTCGCGGGCTTTGGAGCAGATCAGAAGGAATCTGGTGGGAAACACAGATCGCTGGAAGAAAGAAAAAAAAAAGAGAGAGAGAGAGGAAAAAAAAACCAGCCACGCCACTGGACGGATGCCAACTTTGACGCGACTCAAAAGGCCGAGCAAGATAAAAAAAAAAAAAAAAAGGATGGTGGGTTTGACCTTTTATTTTGGGGGGGGGGAGCCCTTTCAAAAGAAATAAAACCCAAACCAGAAGCGTGTGGGAGCGTGTGGGATGGGGAAAACAGAAGAGTTGCAAAACGATTTCAGCAAAAATTTGAGTTTAGCCAAGCGTGAAATTTACACCTCCCCCCCCCCCGGCTCCGCTGCTCTTGGGTGGAATCCCCCGGGTTGGTCGCCAAGGCCGCTGGGGATGATGGGGGTTGTGTTTCCACCCGGAGGGAGCCGTGTGCCAGATTTTTTTGAGGGGGGGGGGAGAAAGGGGTGGCAGAAGGGGAAACAGCTGAGACAGAGGAAGGAATTCCTGTTTTGTTGTAACTTTCGTGGTGAGGACACCCCGCACTGTTGCAGCCCCCGCACCAGACCAGATTCTCTCTCTCTCTCTCTCTCTCTCTCTCTCTCTCTCTCCCTCCCTCCCTCATTCTCTATTTCTTTCTCCCCCCCCTCTCTCTCACACACACACTCGCACGCACACACGCAATGCAACCTGACTTTAATGTACTGAAGCACAGTCACTCCAGGTTTTTGAAGAAGATCTGAGAATAATAGAATAGAATAGAATAGAATAGAATAGAATAGAATAGAATAGAATAGAATAGAGTGGAGTGGAGTGGAATAGAATAGAATAACAGAATATAGAAAGAGTAGAATTGCAGAATAGAATATGGAATGGAATAGAATAGAATAGAATGTAGAATAGAATAGAATAACAAAATATAGAAATATCGTAGAATTGCAGAATAGAATATGGAATAGAATGTAGAATAGAATAGAATAGAATGTAGAATAGAATAGAATAGAACAACAGAATATAGAAATAGAGTAGAATTGCAGAATAGAATATGGAATAGAATGTAGAATAGAATAGAATTACAGAATAGAATGTAGAATAGAATAGAAGAGAACAGGTTTTTTATTGGCCAAGTGTAAGGAATTTGTCTCCGGTGTATAATGTCAAAGAACGCCAAGCACCCCGCAAAAAACACAGACCCGAGAGGTGTCTGCGGAAGCAAGGAGGAAAAAAAAGTGAATGTATTCCCTCCTCTCCTCCCCCCCCCCGAGCCTTTATTACAAAAGCATCAAAGGCTACGAAAGGGAGGAAGAGGTGGGAGAGGTAATTTTTTTTAAAGCCTTGCCCTCCGCTGACACGCTTGCCAAGGGACAAGACTTTAAAAGAAAAATTAATCACAGGAATGAAGACGGGGGCGAGGGGGAGGCGAGGAGCGTGCGGGGAGCGTACACTTCGGTGTGCCAAGTGACTTCCCCCACCGGGCAACCGAGAGGGTGTGGAGTCACAGAAGGCCTGAGGACGGGGGTGGGATGGGGGGCGCAGAAAGAGGAAAGCAAGAAACAGCTTCTAAGCCATCAAGACCAGCCTCTTCTTACCGAGCAAGGAAATGGGCCCAGGGAATGGAAAAATAGAGAGTGAGAGAGATGCTTGCAACGCTCGCTCCCCTCCCCTTTCACCAGCAGGGCTTTGCAAACCGTGCTGGGAAAGAGCTTGGGGAGGGGGCTGGATTTTTGGCAGGGGAGGGGGGCAGGCTGTGAAAAGGGGAGAGAAAAACCGGGAGGGGGAGTTACCGAAAATTCAAAGGGGAAGGAAGAGGGTGAATGACACATCCATTCCCAAGACGCCCTCCTCCACCCCTCCAAAGACCCCCTTCTGGGGTTCACTGGAGACCTACCCTCTCCCCTCCTTCCCCCCCTCGTAAAAATACTAGCCCCCATTTTTCCAGCACCAGGGTAAGTTTAGGGAAACCTCAAAATACTTGCAAGAGGAAAGAAATAGAAAAGCAGCAGACAAGGAGACACCCCGGCTGTTATTATCGGGGGGGGGGGGCACCCGGGAAAAGAAAGGAAGCATATTCTCCACTTCCCCGAAAACACCATTTTCAACCTGGGCAGCCCCACGGGGCGCGGGAGGGCAGCTCGGGAGACGATTCCCATCCCCTTTGGCCGGCTGTGCAACATGGGAGTTGCAACTCCCCATAACCAGAAAGGTGCGGAGAGGAAGAGAGAAAGTTGCTTGGGGTTTCGCTGAGACAGGGCTGGTGGGTGGTGGGTGGGCTGCGTGTCCTCCAGCTCCGAGGGTCCAGATGGGATGCACAGCTGTTTCTCCAACCGCCCCCCCTCCTCCTAGAGGATGTGTTGTCTCTCTCCACTCCACTCCCCCCCCACACACTTCCCCTTCAGCTGCTAACCCATTGCAGACAAACTAATAGAATAAATCTAGCAGGTTGAAATGCCCCCCCCTTTGAAAAAAATATACGGTATATATATATCGCCAAGGATCCAGGCGTGTGTGTGTTGGGGGGGGGGGGTTTATCCAATTTATGCAATCGGTCCCAGGAACACAGATCCTTTGCAAGTGGCCAGCTCCAGACATTTCACTGCACCCCCCCCCAGATTTTTAGAGGCCCCCCCGCCCCAAGTCCCAGGCACACAGAGGTCCAGGGCAACCAGTCCGTTCTCACCCTCGCCTTGCTCCACCAACTGCTCCCCAACTCCGGAGGCGCCCATGCCGCCCGTCTCTTCCTCCCCCCACCCCACTCCACTCCACCCCCCAGCTCCCACCCACAACACGTTCGCCCCCTCCCCGGTTCCAACTGCAAAAAGATCGCCCCCCCTCCCCACAACCAGCCGCGAAAAGCAAGACTGTGGCCAAGCTGCGGCCGACTCCGGTTGCTCCAACGAACCCCCCCCCCTCCGCCATACAAATCCAGCGTTGCAACCTGCCTCTCCCTCCATCCAAGCTGTTTCAGGTTGCAACCGCGGCGCCTCGTCGGCGAGACCCCGAAAGCGCCCCCTGCCCCCTCCCCGGAGCATGCCTGCCTGCCTGCATGCATGCATCCTCTCGGCGCCCCCCTCCTCCACGTTGAACCCCGAAAAAGAGGTGCCTGACCCCCGCTCCCCGCCCTTACCAAGGCAATACATTTTCTTTAAAGCCAGCAGGGGAAGGGAGGGGGCAAGCAGGTGGGAAGGGCGCCGACCCCCCCCACACACACCGCCACCCCCCCCCCCCATCATCCTCATCACACACAACCGCTTCTCCTCCTCTCGGGCGACCCATTTCGCCCCTCCCCATCGCAATGGAGCTTCCGACATAACGGGGGGGGGGAAGGAAAAGCGAAGGAACCGTGGATTTCCCCCCCCCCCCAACCCGATCTCTGTGCGATCGGCGGCTTCCCGTGTTCAACAGCGGGGCTCTCCATTCTCCCCTCCCCTCCCTTGCCGGGGATGGGGTGGGGTGGCAAGGGACCCCCCCCTCCGCGATTCCTCCCCCCCTTTTTTTTTTTTGCAAGCCTCCTCCCGCCCCGGAAGCCTCCGCCTTACCTGCTCTTGCCGCTTGCGCCGCCCCGGCTCACATCCTCGGCCGGCTTGGAGAAGGTGCATTGAAAGCCCGATCCGTGCAGCGTGCCTTTCCCCCCCCACGCCTCCCCCCCCCGGACCGACGCGGGGCTCCCCTCCCAGCCCGAAAAGGATGCCGTGCACGCCGGAGGCGGGAGGGGCGGGGGACACTGCGGCTCGCGCTCCCGCCCGGCCAGCAGCTGCCACCCTCGCAGGTGATGTCATTCCCCGAGCCTCCGCCGGCTGACGTCACCCGGGAGGCGTGACCCGCCAGTGGCCCCCTCCTCTCCCCTCCCCTCCCCTCCTCTTGGGCTCGCGCGCGCGCCCGCACTCACACAAAAGGAGCCCGGCGAGGAGGAAAGGGGCGCGAGGGGCGGGACCGCGGCGAGAGCCCGCGAATGAAGGCGGTGACGTCACCGCCCCGGGCGGGCGTGTGGGGGGAATGAGAGGGGAAAAAAAAGAAAAGAACGAAGGAGCTGGAGGGCGCGCGGCGCAGCCAATCGGGAGAGAGGAAGGTGTGAAAATGCAAAATAAGAGGGCGGGGACGGGAGGGCGAGGCTTGAGGCTCCGCACGTGGCGCCCGCGGCGTCGAAGGTCGGCGAGGGGCGCTGGAACCGCGGTCAGTGGGAGGAACCGAGTTTGTACTGGGTCGAGAGGGGGAGGAGCTTAAATTAAGCCAGGATGAGGAGGGCTTGGGAGCTTCCTTAAGGCTGCCGTCGGAGCCTGAGCGTTGAAATTTGTACGGTTTGATTTATGTGTTCTGGGCCTGAACCCAATCCCTGTAGTTGGTCCCCCAGCTTTGTGTCAACGTGATCGTGGACGCTATCATTGATGGCTTATTGTGTAGACCTGGCCCCTTGTGATTTGGAGAGCACATGGATGGCGTGTGGTTGCATTAAATCTGGCCGGTTGTGATTTAATCCTGTCAAATGCAGGTAGTCCTCAATTTGTGACCACAATTGGGCCCCAAAATTTATGTTGCTAAGTGAGAAATTTGTTGAGTGAGTTTTGCCCCGCTTTACAATTTTTCTGGTCACTTTTGTTAATTGAATTACTGCAGCTGTTAAATTAGTAACACGGTTGTTAAGTGAATCTGGTTCCCCCAGGGACTTTGGTTGTCGGCAGGTTGTAAAAGGGAACGACGTGACTCTGGGGCACTGCGGCCGTCATAAATGTGAGTCAGTTGTCAAGCGTTCAGATATAAATCACTTGACCATGGAGATGTTGCAATGGTCATAAGTGTGAAAAGTGGTCATAAGTCACTTTTTTCAGTGCCGTTCTAACTGAATAGTCACTAAATGAACTGTTGTAAATTGAGACTACCTGTAATGGCTTAATCTGGTAGAGCAGTGGTTCCCAACCTTTTTAATGCCGCGACCCCCCCCAACCGGTCGTAAGTCGAGGACTACTCAACCGGTCGTAAGTCGAGGACTACTCAACTGGTGCAGCACCGTTTGCAGAATGGGACTTTTGGCGGGCTCAGCAGGGCAGAGACACCCTGAACAATTCCTATTGGCTTTTGAAAGCCAATAGAATTAGACTCTATTCAAGAGAGTCTATTCTATTGGCTTTCAAAAGCCAATAGAATAAAAGGGAGTAGCACAGCTAAGGAAAAGGGGAAAAAAATGGCGGACTGCGTTGTTTGGCGACCCCCGTGAAATGCTCGTTCGACCCCAAATGGGGTCCCACCCACAGGTTGAGAACCACTGTGGTAGATAGATAGTTGCAGAATGCACACCTACTAACCTAGGGATGAGGCAGATTAAGCCATGATTTGACAGGATTAAACCACAGTTGGCCAGATTTAATGTAACCACGCCCCATCCATGTGCTTTCCAAGCCACAAAGGGCGGGAGTATACATTAAGCCATCAATCGTAGCTACCTCGATCCTATTCATCCCACGAAGCTGGTGGACCCATTACAGTGAGTTCATAAGGGCTGATACCTTTTTAATAATGTGGAGAAGGGAAAATAATTTCCAAATCTGGGAATTGTAATGATCTAAGATTCTCTAGGACAATTCCTTGAGGGAAGTGGGCCCCCCCAAGAGGGATAGGGCAAAATTAAACCATGAATGTTAGGCAGTTCTTAAGGTAGACACTACAGATCTGATCTTGAGGTAGGGATTCAAGTTACAAGAAACAGGGTTAGCTGGTTATGTGTGTGTCTCCACAGGAAACTCTCTTCTAAGTAAGTCTTCATAGGTTGTCCTTGAATATTGCTGTGGTTTTGAAGAGAATGCTGACATCCCTAAAAAATTGTGTTATTAATCATTAAAAAAATAATGTTTGAAATATTTATATCCTGCCCTTCAATAGAAGGGCAACTGAGAAATTGGAAGGAACAATTAACATGGATGCATGGTGAATGGGCTCCCTCATTTCTCTCTTGGTATTTTACTCAGGGGTAAATATTCAGAGTACTTATAAGATTGTCAAGAAAGAGTGTGTATAAAAAACAGCCCTCTGCTGTTTAAATGCATGCTTATTAGAATTTTTAAAATCCTACCCTTATTATTGTATAATATAGGTAACTCAGGTGGACATCGCTAATACTCCTTTCTCTTATTTTTCCCCACAACAATCCTGTGAGGTGGATAGGATTGAGAGAGAGGGACAGGTGGACAGTCACCTACCCCGACTTTTGGGACTAGAACTCACCGTCTCCTGGTGATTGGCCCCAAATCATCCAGTTGGCTTTCATGTCCAAGGCGGGACTACAACTCACCCTCTCCTGGTGATTGGCCCAAAGTCACCCAGTTGGCTTTCATGCCTTAGGTGGGACTAGAACTCACCGTCTCCTGGTGATTGGCCCGAAGTCACCCAGCTGGATTTCATGCCTAAGGCAGGACTAGAACTCACCATCTCCTGGTGATTGGCCCAAAGTCACCCAGCTGGCTTTCCTGCCTAAGGCGGGACTAGAACTCACCGTCTCCTGGTGATTGGCCCAAAGTCACCCAGCTGGCTTTCATGCCTAAGGCGGGACTAGAACTCACCGTCTCCTGGTGATTGGCCCAAAGTCACCCAGCTGGCTTTCATGCCTAAGGCGGGACTAGAACTCACCGTCTCCTGATTTCTAAACCAGCATTTTAGCCATTATGCTCTCGGCATAGTTTTATATAATGCTCCTCCTCCTCCTCCTCCTTCCTCCTCCCTCTTCCCTCCTCCCTCCTCCCTCCTCTAGAATAATCCTCAGAGGAGTACGGTAAGACTGGTATTTCAAGATACCTGTTCTCCGGTCGAATTTGAAGGAAATTTCCATTTTTTAAGCCTATATCAATCAGATTGCACCTTTCAAAATAAGAGTTTAGATAGAAGGAAGAATCGAATATCTCTTCAAAAGCAACAGTGGGTTGTATAGATAATAATAGTAATAATAATAATAATAATAAAGTTGGAAGGGACCTTGGAGATCATCTAATCCAACCCCCTGCTCAGGCAGGAAACCCTACACCAGTGGTTCTCAACCTTTCTAATGCCGTGACCCCATAATACAGTTCTCCATGTTGTGGTGACCCCCAACCACTTATACATCACTGGGTGCCAGGGGCGTGGCCAAAGAAAAGGGGGAAAAATGGCAGACAACCTTGTTTGGCGGCCCCCGTGAAATGGTCATTCGACCCCAAATTTAGGTGATCGTCTACTAGGACTCCGAGGTCCCTCTCACAATTACTACTATTGAGCAAGGTACCACCTATACGATACCTGTGCATTTGGCTTTTCTTGCCTATATGTAGAGACTTGCTTTCTTCGCCATTGAATTTCATGTGACTGTGGGGAGGCTGCAACAGTCGTAAGTCTGCAAAATGGTCATAAGTCATTTTTTCAGTGTTTTTCCAACTTGAACACTAAATTAACAGCTGTTAGTCGGGGACTCCCTGTATATTGTTGAGACATGTAAGGACAAACAGCGGTCTGAACCTCCATGATTTTTTCTTTGTCCCTGCATCGGTGGGCATCATTTTTTAACTTACAACTGATTTCTTAGTGACCGTTCGAACTTACAATAGATCCCCCCTGTATGTATCACTCGGATTTGAAGTTGCTTTCATTGTCACATGCCTTTCCCTTTCATATGACTGCATTTTGCACACTCAGCACTGGAACCCGCCTTTACAACAATTTACACGGACACATCACCACGACTTACGACGGTTTGTTGCTAGAAATGGCATTTGGTTCCTTTTCAGCAAAAAAAAAAAAAAAATGCCCATTATGGACAATGGGTTTGGTTAACGCCCTTGGTGATTCACTTAACAATGGTTGCAAAAAAAAATGTTAAATTGTATTGGTGACATAATGATTCACTTTAGAATAGAATAGGATAGGATAGGATAGAATATGGAATAAATAATTAGAATAGGATAGGAATTGGAATAGGAATTGGAATGGAATGGAATAGTAAGAATAGAAGAAAGGAAAGAAAGAGAAAAGGAAGGAAAGAAAGGGAGGGAGGGAGGAAGGAAGGAAAAGTAGGAAGGAAAGAAAGAAAAAAGAACGAAGGAAGGAGGAAGGAAAGGAAGAGGAAGAAAGAAAAGGAAAGAAATAAAAGGGAGGATGGAAAGGAAAAGAAGGAATGGGAGAAAGAAAGAGAAAAAGGGAGGATGGAAGGAAAGAAAAGAGGAAGGACGGAAAGGAAGGAAAGAGAAAAAAGAGAAAGGAAGGAAGGAAAAGAAGGAATGGGAGAAAAAGAAAAAGAAAGAAAAAGAAAAAGGGAGAATGGAAGGAAAGAAAAGAGGAAGGAAAGGAAGGAAAGAGAAAAGGAAGGAAAGAAAGAAGGAGGGAGAGGGAAGAAGGAAGGAAAAGAAAGAAAGTGCATGAGAAAGAGAAGGAAAAAAAGGAAGGGAAAAAGAAAACAAGAAAAAGAAGGAAAGAAAGGAAAAAGAGGGAAAGAAGAAGAGAGGAAAGAAAAAGAAGAGAGAGAAAAAGGAAAGGAAGACCAGGATGAGAACTGAATTGGGTGTAATTTAATTTATGCTGAAAGCTTAATTAAAATGCAACTCATTAAATATGGTTAATTGTTCTTCCCCTGTCTATGTTAGTTTTAGTCACATTTCTGTTTATAAATTGATGGCAATTTTTGGAAAGATTGATCGCGCCCTGCG